CAGAAAAATAGAATTGCTTAAGTGTTAATCATCTTGGTCTTTTGAATAACTAGATGTAGAATATTTAAGGGAATTAATTGTGGAAATATTACTCATGAAATCAGGTACAGACATGTCAATATCCCATTCGATATTAAAATATATCGATTAATAATAAACTACAAATTATCCTATGTCGTTACAATCAAACTATAAAACCTATATGTCAAAAAATATAAGACACAGTTTAAAAAAAGGACATAGCACAAAAAGATGTCCTCATGAATTGGAAGTATTATAATTATTAAAATTGTTGCATTATCTAAAGTAATATATAGATTAAACACGATGTCTACCAAACTCCCATGGAATCCTTCAAATAAATGGAACAAAGAATCATGAGATTTATTTGGATTAACAAAATACCTGAATAACAAATACACTACTTAGAAGAAAGAACCAAAACAGAAACTGATAATAATAAAAACAGCTTTGTTTTGTAGTAAAAAAATCTACACAGAGGTTCAGTGGAACATAATTGAGAGCCCTGAAATAAAACCACATCCATATGCACAATTTATGGCAAGGAAGTCAAGATATTAAAATGAAGTCTGAAAAGTCTTCAATATATGGCATTGGGAAATCTGGATAGCCTCATGCATTACTTATTACTTTGAAATGGATTGAAGACTTAGCTGTAAGATCCAAAAGTATAAAAAACATAGAAGAAAGGAGAGGTTATATTATCCTTGACATCAGCATCAGAAATGTGTTTAGGTGGTTATGGGAGGCCCATGGGGATTACAACAAATAAATAAAATAATTAAATAAAACAAAACAAATACCTTTGGAGACAACTACAAAGGCAAGGGAGATACAAGCAAAAGTGGGTCTAAAAAGCTTCTGTACATAGGAAGAAACTTTCACCAAAATGAAAGGACAGTCTGAAATAGAAAAAGATAGTTGGGACATTTTATGTCCTACAGGGATTACTAACAAAATACACAAAGTACATAAAAGTTAATTTAAAAAACTTATTAAAATAGGGAGAGGATATGAATATAGGCTTTGGCAAAGAAGATGTGTGGATGGGCAATGGGCACATGAAAAGATATTCAGCATTTCTTATTGTTAGAAAAATGCAAAGCTAAACAGTAAGATTTCACTTCATCTCGGAAAGAATGACTGAATGACTATTGTCTGAAAGATGAGAATGAACAAGTGTTGAAAAGGGTGTGCAGAGAAGGAATTCCTTAATAATGTTAGAGGGATTGTAAAATGCTGTAGCAATTATATATAGCAATATGAAATTCTTAAAAATCAAAAATAGAACTACAATAGGATCCATTATTCCAATTTTTGGCATATACCCCCCCAAAAAATTAAAATACCAATCCAAGGTGATACTGTCACTTTCAGTATTGAGTAAATTGTAGCATATTTATAATAGTCAAGTGCTGGAAACAATCTAAGCTGTTTCTGTAGCTGTCAAGTGGTTTAAGAAGATATGGTGTATAAACTTGCAATAGAATTCTATTTAGTTGTAGAAGGATTCTAAATTCTATTTAGTTATAGAACTGTTGACATTTGCGACAATATGAATGGACCTAGAAGAAATTTTGCTTCCCAGAAAGACAAACACCAGATTTCTCTCTTACATATGTAAATAAACAGGTGAAATAAATAAAACAGAAAGAAGCCTTTGTACTGTAAAATCAGATAGTGACCACAGAAAGGAAGTAATAAGGATGGTGGGTAAATATGGAAAAAGGAGACAATGGTATAATAGAGGATAGATGAGCTTTTAGCAGTGAAGTATATACACAAATTATTTTCAAAGGCCAACACCTGTAGTTTATAAGATGTTATAGTGCAGTGCTACATCTATTAAAAAAAATTGTCTACTCAAACTAATTCTTATATTTATTGTGTCTATTTTTGGGAAACTCTCTACATTTCTAAGATCTTAGCTTGATGACCAAAACATACTTTTCTAATTTAATTCCTACTGCTCAATCCAAACATTTTCTAAACTAGAGGTCAACCAATGACTTTTGCATACCCAGTGTTCTTATTTGTGCTTTTTCATGACTATCCCTTATCTGAAAGGTGCTCTGTTTATTCTGCCCACATAAATAATTTAAAATCATCATTTAAGTTGACAGCACAAATATTAAAGTGACAAATAACTTATTCTTCATTAATAAATGAAAAAGTTAGAGACCAAACACTTAACTGAACTCCCATTGTATATCATGAGCTTTGATAAATTTAGCTACATATATAATAGTTCATTGGCATTGCTACTTATCAGTTCCTAGGAAATATATCTTCTGGGAAAAGAAAGTAAAATACATTGTATAAAAGTGATTTTTCTAACTACCTTGCACTTTTTACATCTTTCATAGAATCTAGTATGGCAAAAGAGATTAGTAATTTCTCTCTGTCTCTCTCTCTCTTCCCCCCCTCCATAAGATATATATATATATATATATATTTCTTAGTAATCGATGTAAATAGGTATTACTATCTTAACTTTAAGCATCTTGATATTCAGTAAGGAAAGTCACTCAAATTATGTAATAATTCAAAGTCAGCAGCTAAATACTTTATCACTTATACCTATAAATCATATTTTATTTTTAATAACCCAAGTCTTATATCCCTAGATAAGACTTTTACATAAAACCAGTTGAGTGAACTTGTATCTCTCAGTTACTCAATCTAAATGCAAAATGAACTTATTCATTACGTTAAATATATGCTATGCCTAAATTAATATAAATGCTTTCAGAAATCTCTAATCTAAATTTTTCTCTGAGGAAAAATTTCCTTCCCCACACATTTACTATTAAAATGAATGAAAGCATTTTTTAGACATCTCCTCACTATGAACTGAAAACTAATTAGCACATCTAGTGGTTATACTGTTCTCTATTCTTTTACTCTCAAGGTTATGCTTGAGCAGTAAGGAATTTGTTTGAACTACCATCTAAAAAATATTTGCTATGCCTGATTAACTGACTTATGAATTTCAAATGTAATTATGTATAGATATTTATTAAAATTTCAGTGAAAGAAGACTATCTTATACCAAATGATTGGCCCTGAAAAGTTATATAAATAGAAGTATAATTATAGAAATGGTAAATTTGAGTTGGCATATTTATTAAGTTCATTATAATCTATTTGAGATGTGAAATAGCATATAAAAATGGATTCAAAATCAACTGTATGACAGTATAAAAACTAAAAGAATCATACAAACATAAAGAAAGAGAAAAAAAAAAGTGAAATGAATACATCTTGCCCACTATTTCTATTACAAAGAAATTGTATAAAATTGTATAAAATATTTATTCCCAATTTGTAAAAATTCAAAAAGTTTCAAAGAGTACATGTAACTCAGAAGAATTTATTTCCTAAATCCATATAAAGAAGATATTGGGTCATATGTTGGTCACCACCTAAATAGATACAATACCTTTCTTTGTTTTCCTTTTTTCTTCTGTATTTCTCAGCCCATAACTAAGAACAAAACTAACGCACTGTTTCATAAAAGTAAGTTCATGAAGTCCAAAGTAATGTATTTCAAGCATGCAGTTCACTGTCTTTTCTCATGAAAAAAAAATTGAAATATAGACAAAATGATACTGTTTATTTTAATAGTCCCTCATAAAGATCATTACTTCAAATCAGACTTATGAACAAAAAGGCTGGCATTAACTAGAGCAAATCAGGAATTACCAGAAGTCAAGGAGGAAGGGGGTGGTTAAATAGGGTTGTAAGGTGATGATGGAACTGGACTTTTAGTGGTGAGCCAGATGCTTTATCTACAGATGCTACGTACATATAATGCACACTGAAACCTATATAAGATTTTATAATTGCAAAGTTTATTACAATAAAAAAATGAGAACACAAGTTCTCTTCATATCCAAAATAAAGCAAAAAGTTGGATTTTTTTTAATTTCTATTAAGAATCTAGAATATACATACACATACTCTATTGTAAATAATGACCTCATTGTTTTGACCATTGGTTAGGTAATGTGAGCTTATTATTTGTTCGGGGTTTTGGTCACCATTAATTCACACCTATAATTATTTTTGAAAAACAGGCCATGGGGAAGGTTTGGATACTTGCATATGTGAAAACAAGAAAGAACCAGAAACTTTTAATGACAGAAAATAAAGTCAATTTTGTGATAACAAGCAGGTCAATCAACTAAAAATAAGAAAGAAATGTATGAGTTTTAAGTCATAATAGGATATTATATGGACAAAGCATCACAGGGAAATCACATTTGTATTTTATGAGGATTAGATAGCTACCTTCATGCTGATTTTCTTTGAATTTCAATATATAGTGATTGTTACAAAAATAGCAAAGCCAATTAAGTTATAAAATACATTTTCACATTAATCAAAAAGACTTTAGTATTAATGTATCCAGATTTAAGAATGAATATTCATGAAAAAATTAAATAAGTAAAAAAAATTATTATACAAATTGAGAAAATTCAATTCAATGAAAATGAAAAAATTGGATAATTAGAAATAGAACCAGAGTCACCTTAGAAATTTGGAAACACTGACAACATATTTAAACATATCTCTATAAAGCACAAACCTAAAGAGGAGAATTAATATTCCTACATATTATTTCAATTCTTTCTTTCTTGAAACATAATTTAGAATTTATTGTGACAAATGAAAGAAATGACATGCTGACATTTTCCTGTGCCTCTGAAATGTGAATTCAGTTATAAACCAATATTACCTTAGTTAAAAAAAAAATGCACAGGGGGAAAAACTTTATTAACTCCATCCTGGAAGCTGTTTATTCAAAAGTGCATCAATCCTCTTATTTCTAACTAAAAATTGGTCAGTTTGAATATTTAAAAGCTGAATTCTTAACTATGTGACTGATAATGTGACCTATGCACTCCTTTTTTCCTTAGAAAAGGAAAAATGTGCATATTAACAGAGGTACTTATTGTTTAGTGTTTTAATCTTACCTGAGCTATATTTATTGCACTTTGGACTACCCCATCTTTCCCATTATTCCTTATTTTTTGAAATGTTTGCAATATTTTATTTCTAAATCCATCTTGTTCTTCATCTCCCCTAAGTTCCCATGCCATTTTTGTCAGGTTATATACTAGTCCATAGTATCCAGTCCATATCACTTGATCACCTGTTTAAAAAGAAATGAATGTTAGGAAAATATTTGTCTTATCAATGTATGGTTTTATGAAAAAGAAGAAACTTAATTTTAATAATATATATATATTTTTAAGATTTATTTATGTGTGCATACAGAACTGGGGTACAGGCCAGAGGCTCAGGGGCGGTGAGAGGCTTCACCAGAGACAGAGTGGGGAACAGAACAGGCAGATCGACGAAGTACACAGCTGAGGGGAGCAGCGGGCCAGTCAGGAGAGGTCTGCCACGCCATGTGGTCACCTCCGGGGCAGGCGGGAATCGAACTCATGCGGAAGCTGCTTTAGATTCTCAGTACTGTGCTTTAACCCGCTGTGCCACCAGGGAGGGCCAATTTTAATAATATTTTAAGTCCAAAACTCTAAGCTTTGAAATTTTTTTACCCTTCACTATTTTTACTTCTCTAATTAAAAAAAAAAAAATCCACAAATAATTTTTAAATGTCTAGCTATATGAAAAGATGAAGTGAACACAACTAATTCCACACTTTATAAATTTAAAATTTAAACAGGAAAATTTTAACTATGCAATAAAAAAAAAATCCTTGGACTTCAAATAAAATGTATTTGCTAAGGCAATATGAACATGTAAGTCACCATAACTAATTATTTGTAATAAAGCAGAGAAACAAGAGAAAAAAATCACTAGTTTTAGTAACAATTAGAAAACTATGAAATATATCATTAAATCAAAATGTCAACTTTATAATTATGTAAAAATCAGAACAAAATTACTAATATAATTGCAGACTGGAAGAGTTTTTTAATAACAGACATAAATCAGTTGATTTAGAGAACCAATGTGTGTGTATATGTGTTCATATATATATTTACATGTATATATATATATACACACACACACACACACACACATATACATACATACACACACACATACATGGGAGAGATAATAAAAAGTCTAAGACTTTTCTTAAAACTTATATACCAAATAGCAATTAAAAATGTTCAAGTTCAACTATTAAAGTATTCATTAGCCTTATAGAAATAAGGAAGAAGCTTCTTTATTTGGTCTCTAAACTTTTTCTCACCAATCTCTGATATATTGCCATAAAATACTATTTAAGAAAAATGAATTCTAGGCTACATAGTAATGGATGAACAAATTCGAAGAATGTAATACAAATACCAGTGTGATAAGAACTAAAGTTGACCAAGGAGCAACCTGAGGATATTATCTGTTTGTAAAGCAAATAAAAGCAAAAGTAATAAGAGATTCAAAAAGGAAAATGGGAGGATTTTAAAGCCAAACAAATTCAGCTTGTTTTTCCCAAATATTCTTGTCATCACATAGTGGCAGTGCAACTCAAGAATGCTTCCTAAAAGAAGAGAAAAGCACCATCTGAAAAGTCACAATTCTTAATATTGCCTAATTCAAGCTATTTTAATAATACATAATAATGATTACATATAGATTACTTATGTAATATCTGCTTTTATCCTAGTCTCATTACAATCAAACTATGTAGATGCTATTTAGAATAAAAGTACAGGACAAGGATTGCAAGCATCCTTGTGTCATACAGCTGATGAAAAATAAAAATGAAACTGGGCCTAATATTACCCTATGCAGAATAGCCTTTCCATCAGAAAAATACTCCATTTTAATTGTTACCTTTTGTTCTGTTCCTAGTAAAGAAGAAAATAGAGCGTGCTGAAGAGAAAGTATGCACACGTTTTGAAGTGGATTGAAAAGTCATATGTGCAGCTTCCAAACTTAGGAGAATTTCACTCTTGGTATGAATGCATATGACATCTCTCTATATTGTATTGTTATAATAAAGATAAACATAGATAAACAAAATAGCATTATAGTGACATATAAATTACTCTCTATACTAGTATATAAGGCAAAAGATAAAAGCAGTATGATAACTACAGAGATTTATTCATAGAAATACAACATATAAAGATGTAAAACCATTTTTACATCTTTATGTGGGGAATTAAAGTTAGAGTTTCCCTATGTGATTAGACTTATAATAAACTTAATATGACTCCTGTAACTATACACTATTCACTGCAAACCCATGGTACTATCATCTTATTTAGGGATGAAGAAAACTCCCTAAATCAGAACACAGGAATATCAATGGGAAAACCAGTATAGTTCTAAGTAAATTAGGACAGTTGGATGAGAAATAGTACTCCCAGTAAAGGTAGCTATATGAAAAGAAAAGAGAGAGGATAACAATGAAAGTCTCAAATTGAACTAAGGTGGAGAGTTCATACTAGAAATGAGTAAGATAAAGTGACTAAAAAAGGGGAAGGAAGATCTGATTAAATGTCAGATGTTTGAACAAGCAATTTAGTTTTCATTTTTTCTGTTCAATGAAATGTTATACCTATTCAAGAAATAAAATAGGAAACAAATACAGGAGTTTATGAGATAATCTAAATCTATGGTGGTGAGCAATGTACTGCAGTAAAGGATAAACCTAAAAGAATATGGAGACAGTCGAGTCTTCTTATTTATAAAAAGGAAGAGGAAGTGTATTTTTAAAATTCAAAAAACTGAAATAATGAAATAATTTACAGAAATGGGTTTATATAGAAGACCAGTTTGGTGAGAAAAGAAATAAATATTACTTGGAAAATGTGCAAGTGGAGGACGAAGGATCTGATTTTTTGTGCCCACCGGTTTTAGTAAAACTACAGCTTTGGGAGATTGGACAAAGATGGTGTCAGAAGAGATTCTTTGATTCACTCCTGGAATGGTGACCTGAAAGTTAAATAGAACAACAATACACACAGAGAGTCCTGTGACTTAGGGTGAAACAAGAATACTACTTGGATATCAGAGAACAGCATAGGTTACAGCAAAGAGGAGAGACTCATGCTTCGTTAATTATGATGTTGGTAATAAAGAAACTGGCGGCTGTCATCTGTGATTGGGAGGATGCTTTGAAAACCACAGCACTGCCACTAGTCAGTAACCTTCAAATGGAGCATTGAATAGTGTAGAAAAACGTACCCTTGAATAATGGTAAATGTGTAAAGGAGCTAGGGTCATCCAATCCAATAGTCCATTACCAGTCCTGAGGTAATCCAAGGAGAGAACAACTATCCAGAATCCAACCATGAAGACACAGGAAATTTTTCTTTCCTACAGATAGGAAGTTTAAATCATCATAATGAAGAGAACCAAAGAGATGGTAGAAAATGCAGATTAGCACATATAAGTGATATATTAGAATTCTTAAAAGCTAAGAAAATTGAAAATTCAGAGAAACAAATTAATGACTTGAGAAGTAAAGTTAATATATAAAAAATAGAAAAAAGAAGTTTAAAATAATAACAAAGATCTGTGACTTTCAGAAGGAGAGAAGGGGGAAATGGCAGCAGGGTTGAGGAGAGAACACAATGGACTATGGTGAAACACTATGGATGCTTTGATGGTGGAAGTGCTATGATTACACCAGAACGATGGAGTCCTAAATTGTCAGAACACTAGCAAAAATGTGAAATATTGATTCATCATTACAAATAATAAATATAATTAAAAATAAATCAGGGTGTCAAAGTGATTGAAAAATGAGAAAATAACAGAGATGTAGGATGTAAAAGGTCAACAGGAGATTAAATATATTGATAATACTATTGAAGCTGAACAGATCAGATGTAGGGTTGAAGTCAGTAACCTCAATGGGAGTATTGTACAAAACTCAGGTGGAAGAAGAGAGAGAAAAAGAAGGGGAAATTTTTAAAATACTTCAAGAGTCTTCTGACTTCAATAAGAAATACAAAATAAAGGTATTCCAGAAAGGAACAAGAGAAGGGACTAATTAATTGTTCAAAGACAACAGAATGAAACTTCTCAAATTGGGAACAAAACTAAAAACACAAGTAAATGGAGTTATGAAAAGGTATTGAGATCTACACTAAGATATATAGTTTTGAAACTAGTAAAAATTCAAGAAAGAGAAAGTATGGAGTTGTTTAGGTGGAGAAAGCAATAAACTTATAAAGGTACTCTCATGACATGCATCATACTTATCTATGGAAACAATACGAACCAAGAGAGAAAGGATTGAATATTCAAAATACTTAAAAAGTGCAAGCCAAAATACTGTATCTTGAAAAACTTTCTAGATATGTTAAGAAATAAAGGTCTTCTGAGACAATTAGACATTGAAGGCATTTGCAACAACAGAAGTACCCTTAAATATCAAAAGGAACTCTACCACAAAATTGAATAGAAAAAAAAAGAGAGAACTACAAAAAAATGATCAAGGAAATATATAGACACAGTAAACTAGAATATAAAAGGCTACATCTAATCCTCCCTATATCAATAATTAAACTAAATGTAAATTAATTTACCAAGCAGAAGGGACAGAGTGGTTGTTGGATCAGAAACAAAAACTCAACTTTCTATTGTCTCCAGTAAACCCAACTGAGCTCCACTTAATATAGGATATATTTGGAAACCAGTCCTACAAGCAAGGGAGGCCCAAATAAAATGAGGAGAGACAGATTCCTATATCAGAAAAACTACTTTCAGCTATAGAAGATAAAAAGAGAAAGAAGCACTGTATATTGACAAAGGAATCGAAACATCAGGAAGACATAACACTCATCAATACAAATAAACCAAGTGAAGAAGTATTAAAATATAAATGTAAACTAACAATCAGAAAACAGACATTGGCAACAACACAATAGTAGTAAAGGACTTCAACATCACACTTTCATCAATAAATAGATCAACTAGTAATAAAAATCAATAATAAAAAAAAATCTTGAATGACAAACACGAACACGTGGGTTTACTAGATATTTATGGAAACCCTCCCCCCCACCACCAAATAATCTGTGTACATAATCTCCTTAAAAATGCATTTGGAACATTTTTTAAGACAGTCAGCACATTGGATCACAAAATATGTGTCCATAAATTATGGAGACAGAAATCATATCAAGTACTTCTCTGATCATAGTGACAGCATAGTAGAAG